TGTTCACTCATACTGTCCAGGCCCTGGGACTTTGATTTTCTAGCCTGTGGCTCTGGCAGCAGCTTTATCTACCACTGATGGCTTTGCAAACTGCCGGAGTATATGTTTCCTCATGGCTTCTTCATACATCGTTAGTTTTGTTGGGCCTCCCTGTCCCGCTCTTGAGCCTCCATCTCCTCCCGTCCTCCCCACTTCTGCTCCACAATTCCCTTTCACTTTCATATCGAATGTGCTCCAGGGCTCTAAGAAATGATTTCCATTTACCCATACTTATTGACACTTGTGTTCTAATTAATGCGTGGTCTAATTCAGAGAAAGTCTCCAGGGCTCCTGGGGAGAATCTGTTCACAAGTTCTTGTGACCTCAGCAATGTGGGGCATGGAAACTGGATGATCAGCAGGATGAGCTACCTGGAAACCAGCAAGCTCCAGGTTTGGGGGCAGATACTGTCTCAGTGGAGTAAGCTGGAGTCACAGAGGAGGACACACAGCTTCTTCATCTGGCCTCTGCACGAGTATGCACCCCACTCTGGTGCTCATACTCCCCCAGCATATTCTCTCTCTCTCTCTCTCTCTCTCTCTCTCTCTCTCTCTCTCTCTCTCTCTCACACACACACACACACACACACACACACACTCTTTAGAAGCATCAGGACATGGTTACCTTAAATGAGACTTAAGCTGTTGGAGTGTAAAGGTGCCTCAGAAAAATGGAAGATACCTCCACTCCTCACCTTTCTGTTCTTGGCTCAGTTTCTCCCTTGTACTTGTCATTTACTTGTGGAAGTCTGTTCTTAACATAAAAATAATATAGTATGTTATAAACCTTTGCTGTATTCACACCTATAGTGATTTTATTCTCATAGGCATTTTAAGATATCAAAAATAACTGACTTAGAATCATGTATATAATCATGTTTCTCATTGTTTGAGACAATGAGAAAGGTCTCAAACTCACTATGTAGCTGAGGCTGGCTTCAAGCCTCTGACTGCTGGAATTATAGGCATGGGATGCAGCATCTGGTTTATGTGGTGCTGGAAACAGAACCCAGAGCCTCCTTCATGCTGGGCGAGCATTCTACCAACTGAGCTACACCCTAAACCTGTGTGTGTGTGTGTGTGTGCGTGCGCGCGCGCGCGTGCGCGTGCGCGCACACACACGCACGTGTGCTTTAAGATTTATTTTTTATGTATATGGGTGTTTTGTCTACTTTTATGTTTGTGCACCACTCATGTGCCTGGGCCCTCGAAGGCCAGAAGAGGGCTTGAGATCCCCAGGAACTGTCAGCGTTAAGTTCAGGGTGGGGATCCAACCCTCTGGAAGAGCAGCCAATGATGCTCTTAACAGTTAACCAGTGAGGTGTCATGTCTCCAGCCCCCATTATTAACCAGTGAAGCATGTAAGTTATTAGCAGACTTTTAAAAAAGGGAATAGAAGATTTGTTTTTAAATTTTTTTTTATTTTTATTTTTGGAGACAAAATCTTACTATGTAGCCTTGGCTGGCCTGGAACTCAGAAACATACGCCTGTCTCTTCTTGAGTGCTGGGATTAAAGGCGTGCGCCACCATGCCTGGCTTACTTCTACTTTTATGCTTTTAAATAGCGCTCAAGGGTGTGTGCATGTGCGCTCGAGCTCGTGCATGTGTTTAAGAGTAACAATGGACCACATTTGTTAGTTCAGGAAGATAAAGTTTCAAGAAGAATTAAGCAACGGGACTTAGTTATTAAAATATTTTATTTTCTGGAACAGGATAGTCTACTCGGTTTTTCTTTTTCCCTGGTGCAAACTAATGGGTGAAACAAGCCAAAGCTCTGATGGTTTTCATCCCTCAACTTTTAACAGTTATCTAGGAAACAGAAACTCAACTTGTGCTCCTCTTTTCCCACTTTCTTTCTTCTTTTCTTTCTTCTTACACTAAGCTGTTAATTTTTAAATACAATGTATGTGAAGTATAAGCAAGTTTTTTTAGTCTTTTCTTTAGAGGCTAATTAATATGTTGTGGTTTATAAAGATTTTCTTCACTGAGATTGTGGTTCCTTTGGTCTAACTGGGAAAGAACAAATGGCTGACTTCTTTCCAGTCCCCAAATGGACCTAGCAGCTGGCACATGTTAAGCAAGTGCTGGACGCCTGAGCTCTGGCCTCAGCATCAACCTGGGGATGAAGCAGAAGCCACAGAAAGTAACTTCATGAGGTGCACTGTTCCCTAAAGACATAGTCAGAGCTGCTATAAATACAACAATAGAGCTGAGGACAATGTCTGTTGCTGAGGTAGTGACTTTGTTAATATATTTTGCTTTCCAAAGTCAAAGGACTTTGACTCATGCTGTCTGAAGTATGTAATCTTCCTTTGCTCCCCCAGATCATCCTAACTGCATTTTCAGATTTTTAAATTGTATTTGTCCTTTGTACATAAATACACCAGCTATTTAGAAATAAATTTCTCTTGGAAGCTGATTGGTACAGTGCTTATGCATGATGCCAGTGCTGTTAGGAGGACACGGGGCTTGAAAAGGTACCCAGAAATTAGGGAGTTTCTGAGAAACCAGACCCATTAGGTTTATCTTTGACTTGGAGATAGTACAGCCTTCACCCTTTTGTAAAGGGCTTTGAAGGGTGCAGGCCAGGGGAAGTGCAAACAATCTGAAAATTTGACGTTTATTTTTCTCTAAAAATATAAACTGGGAGTTAGTCTTTTGCAGACAATTAAGAGCTCATATCCCAGGCTTTGGTTACAGTTCTGAGCTGCTGATTAGGTGTTCCTGGTGGTGATTACTGAAAGCACAAATGCAATCATTTGCTGCGGCTTAATCACTCACGTGTTTGAGAAGTTAGTTATCCAGAAAGAGAAATTGAAGCTTGTATAACTTCCATTAGCCTTATTTTTAATAGCAAAAAAAAAAAAAGAAAGAAAAAGTGAGAAAAGGAGAAGAAATTATGACTAAATCAGGAATGTGGGGTCATACAGAATAAATGATGGTTGAAGAGAGATGCAGAACCTGGCAAATACACTGAGCAGACAGGTTCCACAGTAGAGGGAGCAGATGAAGCCTGAGGCTTCCTCAGGGACACAGACGAAGACTGGCTCTTTCATTGTGCACCCTGCTGCTCAATGAGTATGTATGTTTGTATGTGTGCACTTGTGTGACCTCCATCCCACAAAACCCCCACTAATACAGGGAGGTGTTGTAAAGTTTACGAGTTTTGTAAAAAGGTATTTGGAGAGAGAGAGAGAGAGAGAGAGAGAGAGAGAGAGAGAGAGATTTACATGTACACATGCAGCCAGGGAGGTGGGGAATTATTAGGGTGAAGGAAGGATTGGTGATACAGGGTGACTCAGGCTGAAAAGAGGCATCTGGAACAGGAGAGGATGCTGAAGACAGGATAACTAGAAGGAGTTGAAGGGATGAGGGCAGTTGCAAGTATTTAGAAATGAAGGGTGGATCTGCAGAAAGTACCACGGTCGTGTGGCTTTAAAAATTACCACAGATGTCTGACCCAGCTCTTGGACCATGAAGCGTTCTTTCTGGCAGCTTCCACCTTCTTAATCCAGTGTAAAGGCAGGTTTTCTCTGTGTAGCTCTGACTCTCCTGGAACTCACTTTGTAGACCAAGCTGGTCTTGTACTCAGAGAGATCAGAGATCCACCTGCCTCTGCCCCCCCCATCCCCCAAGTGCTGGGATTAAAGGTGTGCACCACCACAACCTGCTGGCTGAAAATTGGCTATTTTAACAGTTAAGCAGAAACTCAAATGTAGGTACTTGAAGAAATTTACTGACAGTGCAGTTTTGGCAGTTCAGGAAAACATAATGCAAAATTTACTCTTGTTTGTTTGTTTGTTTGTTTTCGAGACAGGATTTCTCTGTATTGCTTTGGAGGCTGTCCTGGAACTCGCTCTGTAGACCAGGCTGGCTTTGAACTCACAGAGATATGCCTGCCTCTGCCTCCCGAGTGCTGGGATTAAAGGTGTGTGCCACCAACGCCAGGCTAAAACTTACTTTTAAATTATTATTTTATTGGATTTGTATGTATTTAATGTTGCAACTTCAGTTTTATGAATCCTACATGAGTTAAATAGTTTTGTTCTAAGCTCATATAACTTCATTGGAACATCTCAGGAATTACATGTCTACACATATATGACTATATTAGTAATTAAGGTGTGTATGTATAAATACACACACATATATGCAGAAAGCTTATAATCCCAAGTCATTCCTTATTTCTTGTTTGTTCATTTTGTTTGTTGGTTGTCAGAGCCATTTCTCCAAAATGTTTGTTATTTTTTAACAACAAAACATAACAAAATAAAGTATAAGGTAAAACAAAAACCATCACTTCAAAGTTGGACAAGGCAAACCAACAGAAGAAAAAGAGCCCAAAAGAAAGCACAAGAATCAGAGACCTGCTCGTTCACATACTCGGGAGTCCCATAAAAACACTAGACTGGGAGTTATAATACATGTTTGGAGGACCTGGTGCAGGCCCTGTGCTTACTGCTCCGGTCTCTGTGTGTTCACATGAGCTCTACTTAGTTGATTTAGAGGGCCTTGTTCTCCTGGTGTCCTCTATCCCCTCAGACTCTTAGACTCTTTCTGCCACTCTTCTGCAGGGTTCCCTGAGCCCTGAGGTGAGGGGGAGGGTTCCTGATGGAGACATCCCATTTAGGGCTGAGTGTTCCAAGAACTGATTCTCTCTGTAATGTTTGTCTGTGGATGTCTGCATCTGGTCCCATGTGCTGTAGGAGGAAGCCTCTCTGATGATTAGCTGGATAAGGCACTGATCTATGAGTATAGCAGAATGTCATCGGGAGTCATTTTATCACTCTTGCATTTATTATTGTTGTTGTTGTAGACATTGGTGTTTATTCCCCTGGGCTATCTTGTCTCTGGTTCTTGGTCACCCAAGCAATGTTGGGTATGGTTTCCATCTCATGGAGTGGGTCTTAAGTCAAATATATTTCTTGTTTTAAAAGATGTTTTCTATGTTTGTACTATAGGAATATTGCAATACGGTCCAGTTAGATTCTGGGATAGATTATCGGAAAAGGGAACTCACTCCTGCAGGAAAACTCTACTACCTGTAAGTGTTTTCTCTCTGTGTCTATGTGTTTAATTTTCCAAGCTTGCAATTTAATAACTTATCAGGAAAAGATTAAGAAAATTAGAACCTGAAAAACTACTTGGGAATTTCATAATTCTTAAACAAAATGTTATGATGTTAACTTTATACTGCCTTAGCCATCCATATTAGCATCATTTCTAATATGTGATTGGGTGAAACCCTAATTAGGTTTTTGGGAGATGACAGATGGTAGGGAAGTAATGAGTGTCCCCTCAAAAGAGACTGTGAGACTAAGAGAGTATCTTCAATGTGCTAAAGGAATTAATTATTTGTGGACATCTTCTGACACGTGTTCCATCTCTGTCCCCCCAAATTGTTGCTATATTTTGTCAGACAATCTGTCTGTATTTGCTGTTGTTGGCTGACTCTCGTGCAGAACTGATGTAAAATGTATCCCATATGCAAATGAAACAGTGTATCTCCTGAAGTCTTTTAGGAGCTTCTCCTGAGTAGGAGCAATTTATAACAATAGATGTATTCAGCACATACAGTTATGCTGAGAAAACAAATACAGTTTGTCTGAAAATGTCACTCGTGAGAACCCTGGGAAGGAAAAAGTGCTCTGTAGATGCAACTGTTGTTCTGTGTCTGCCGACAGTGTTTGGCACATATGGAATCTCAGGGACCACATCACCGGCTTAAGTGTGATTTAACTAAAAGGAATGTTGCTGGTAATTTAAATTTTGATGACAACGTGCATACAAGAGGTTGAGAAAACTTCTTGTCTTTGCCGCCTTGTAAGCAGAGGTACTTACTGTTTTGAAGCAGAAATTAGCCAGGAAAATCACATAATTAAAATTGCATACTTTACAACATACCAAAGGGACTGTTTCGGCTTATGTTCAGATTCCGGCAGTTGTTACAGAAGCGTCTTGTCTCCCAGTAAGTACTCAATCTTTAAAGTACTTTATAATTTAAAACAATTCCCCCAACACCACTGTCTGCTTTTGTATGGGCGCTTTCTTCCCAGATTCTTTTATCTGGAGGATTCCTGGGTCTTTGGTTTTTCTGACATTCATAACCCTTCCCTGACTTGTTACTGCCTATTTCTTGTTGTTTCAAATATGTGGTATTTATCAATAAATAGTTATTTCTTTTATTCTTTTTTTCAAAGGGAGCAGTTCTTATTTCCTGTTTTAGGCAAAGTACACTATTATGGAAGAATTAAAATATTTCTTAGTGAGGAGTTTCTTTCTCTTTCCTTTTTTTTTTTTTTTTTTTTTTTTTTTTTTTTTTTGAGACAGGGTTTCTCTGTGTAACCTTGGCTGTCTGGGAACTTGCTTTGTAGACCTGGCTGGCCTTGAACTCACAGAGATCCGCCTGCCTATGATTAAATGTAAAAGTCCTTCATGGCAGAGTAAGAGAAGAATCTGCTTAGGTCTGTTTCAATTGGATTTCTTTTGTCTTTCTTTTATAGTATGGAAGATTGCACCTAAGCTCCTACAGACACAGGGCAAACACTCTACCTCTAAATTACCCCTAAGCTCTGTGATTTACTTTATATTTATTAGTTTTAAAAAGCTTTACTTTTGTTATTTTAATTACAATTTGTGCTGGGGGTGGGTATGTGTAAATACAGGTACCCCGTAGGTCAGATCCCTTGGGGCTGGAGTTACAGTGGTTGTGAGCTGTTTGAAATGGGTGCTGGCACCGTGTTCAGGTCCTCTGTTACAGCAGTGCATGCTCTGAGTGCTCAGCGGCCCTCCAGCTCCTTTACTGTTTGTTCCGAGACTCACTGAGTGGCTGGGCCTAGCTTTGGAGTCCCTCTAAGAGCAAGCAGGTCTTGAACTTGTGAACTTCCTGCCTCAGCCTTCTGAGTAGCTGAGATTACTGGCCAGTGTCCCCAGGTCCAGCTTATCTCACATTTATAGAAAAAGTTAGTCCCCCTTGTGTTATTCTTTTGCCCTGTTAAAACATGTTTCTCATTATAACTCTGCAGCTAAAATCTGGAATATGTGGATCCAGACTACTCCCTTGTCAATTTTACTAGAGTTCAAATGCCTGAAAAAGAGAAGCCTACCTTCTCTCTAGGGGATATCAACCACTGTTGGACTTCTTTACAAACAGAATCCTATATACGATCCTTAATTAAATAGAAATATTCAGATGAGGTGGGTGCGTTCAGGGTGGTGGGACTGAGACTAGAAATATCCATTAGCTCTGCACTTCACTTTTCCAAAGACAATGGAAAATGTCCCAAGCTAGAACCCGAATAATACTAAAAATAACCAGAGATCTCATCCAAACAACCTGCTAAGCTGACATGGAGCAATGTCTGTTGTTCAGAATATTGTCTGCTTCCTCAGAACTGTTCACACAGGTATTGTCTGTTTGCCTGCAGTCCTGTTGAGTTAGAAATCTCGGTGTATGATATTTGGATTTGTGTGTGTGTGTGTGTGTGTGTGTGTGTGTGTGTGTGTGTGTGTGTGTTTTTTTCAAGGTGTGCTTGTGTCACAACACACATGTGGAGGTCAGGGGATAGTCTTGGCTATCAGCTCTTGCCTTCTGCTTTGTTTGAGTCAGGGTCGTGTTCGTTCCTGTGCTGCATACCCCAGGCAAGGAGGATGCTCCCATGTGCACCTCCCGTGTCGCCACAGGAGGAATGCTGGAATTACAGGCACATATCCCCACATCCTTTCACACTAGGTCCCAGGGGTCCAAACTCAGGCATCAGGCTTGTGCAGCAAACACCTTACCCTTTCGACCATCTCCCTGGCCTTTCTAAGAAAGTTCCAGAGACTTTTGACTTATCCCAAGTAGTTTTCGATCTCACCATGACAAACTTAGTCAATGTGAGCAAGTTGCCAGCCACAGGGAATTTCATCCATCCACCTGGATGAAAGCATCCAGCCGTTATCCATTCTACAGTAGCTGCATTTTTATTCCTCAGTTTCCTCCTGGATGCTTGGGGACCAGGCATCAGAGGGACGCCTATGTAAGAAAGGTGACAACAGTCTGTGCTGTGTTGAAACCAGGCAACTCCATTAAGCTTTGGGTTTGCCATTTGCATCTGGGTGGCCACTTGGACCACTGACTCATTTTGAACCATGTGGAGTTTGTCAAACCTGACCTGTCTTATGCTTTCCCAAGAATTTACCTGCCTCATATGAGCTCTTGGGGGCTGGTAGCAGATACCATTTTATATATGCAGTGAACACATCTTTCCAGCAGGAGGCGCAGCTATGGAGGGGCCCCATGGTACACTACCCTGACTATTGTGCTGTCATTTCTGCAACAGGAGGATCCACTGGTTTCCTGAAGAGAGAGAGGATTTCAGGTCACCTCGGTCTAAAGTTTGCTGTTTGGTTTTCATTTGCTATTAGAAACTGAGTTGTGTGTGTGTGTGTGTGTGTGTGTGTGTGTGTGTGTGTGTGTTTCCTGCTGAGTCTGTGGAAGGATCTAGAATGTTTCCTATTCACTCAATGGATCTTTCCCAAGCTCACCCCTATTCTCCATACAGCAGCCATGGCCTTGTGGAACGATTTGATTTCATTCTCTTCTCAGGTGTGTGTGTGTGTGTGTGTGTGTGTGTGTGTGTGTGTGTGTGTGTGTGTCTTTTAAATGTAATGTACTTGTATGTATACAGGTACATGTCATGTGTGTGTGTGTTAGTGTGTTAGGCCAGAGACTGGTGTTAGGTTCTGCCTTATCTTTGAGTTAGAATTTTTCTTACTGACCCACAGAGTGGCTGGCCAGCTAGCTCCAGTGATCCTCCTGTCTCCATCTTCCCTCTGAGCAGTGCTTGAATCGAAGGCTCACACCACTGCTCCTGGCTCTTACATGGGTATAGGCATCCAGACTCAGGTGCAGGGGCTTGCACCTTGCCCACTAAGCCAGCTTCCTGGCTGCTCACAGAAAGACTTAGAACTGAACAGGGGACAGGTGGCAGACCTGGCATGCTTATGTGCTCTACCCCCGAGTTCACAGATCACCTCTAGTGTTGTGTGACAAAAGAAACAACCAACCTAGGTCAGAAACACAGGATTTTAGTTGTATGGTACAAAGACGAGCCTGAGTGTTAGAATATGCCATAGCGTCCTTGTGCCTGGGTCTCCTGGGGTGGGAGGGAGTTCTTCTGAGGTCTGGATGATTCCAGTTCAGGCATGGAATCCTGTGACATGACAGGAGCGCTGAGCTTGTGTGGAAGCTATTGTTTTCTGGCTGGGAAGAAGCATGTCTGCCTTTCTCAAGGTTGCTCATGACAAATACAGCTCTGGGGAGAGTTGAGGCCTTGCGTTCTTGGCACAGCAGCTCAGTGTGAGGGGGGAAAAAGATCTGCAGAGGACCAGCTCTTTCAACAGGCATCCACTAGAGTCATTACCACCACATAGCATCCATAGGAAACACACGGTTAGTTGTCTAGTATCTCAAGACCATCTTAATTATATATAGATACACACACACATACACACACACACACACACACACACACACACATCCATCCTTTGAGCAGATTTCAAAAGTAACTTTTTTTCTTAAATACTTTCCCAGTAGAAGCCGCATCTCACAGCAACTTTCAGTTTTCTACTCCAGAAATATCTCTTTCAAGAAGATAATCGTTTTCATGACTGTATCTTTGAGTACCAGTTTTTAAAAAGCAACAATTAGTTGCCAAAAAGAAAGAAAAGAAAGAAAGAAAAGGAAAACCCCTCAGTGTTCTAAGGCGAGAGATCTGTTTAAGGAAAAAAGATCTGAAGACTAAGAATGAAGCTCATGTTCACACACGCAGATCCCCACAGTTGAAAGCATCCTGCCTCTTGCCTGTGATGTGCTGTATAGATGCTCTCTCCCATCCTTCAACTGCGAGGACCACATCACTGAGTTAAGAATGTGTCTTAGCTTCTTTGCCACACCTTCACACACCCAAAATCTTGGCATATTTTTTCCTAGACTTAAAATTTAATTTAATTAATTAATTTTATATGCTTGGGTATTTTGCCTGCATGTATGTCTGTGTA